CAGTCTATTTGGATTTGTAGAAAATTATTAAGCTGGTAGTTTTAATTTGGGTTGTTTAAATATTCATTGAGTCTAAATACCTGAATTCGTTAAGCGTTTTTTTCTCCTAGGAGTTGTCTTCCTTTTAGTACTATCCAATTACTTTCGTCGTGTTTTCTGTGCTTTCGATCTTTTCTATTATTATTATTATTATTATTATTATTATTATTATTATTATTATTATTATTATATCTCTTTCTTTTCCTGTGTTCCTCACTTTCGCCCCGTTTTCTCCTCGTACTTAATACTACTCTTCTGATGAGCGTGTGCTCTAATACTGTTCCATATCATGTTTATTCACAAACTGTGTCATTTACATTAATATAATCCCTTAAAACGCCACTGATTCAAGCAACTCATTACAATGTCTGCTCTCGCTTCGAATATTACGTTTGGAGCCTACTATACAGAACAAATAAACCCCTGAAGTTTCTTAATTACGATACAATTCGCAACTTTGGAAATTACAAGTGCCGTTGGTGCAAAGTTCCTCGTACCTTTCGGCGAGGAGAAATGAGCGAAGGAACGATGGAGAGACAAAGAAGGAAACGCGAGCGATAACAACGGTAACTATTTCGTGCTGATGACGGCGAGAGGGGTGGTGCAAGACGAAAACGTAGGCGATGACGGGAGGTTACTGTAAGGCCGCCCTCTGGTTCCAGCCCGCCGAGTCGCGGTGAAGTAACTAAAAACGGGCGCAACGCTCGAGTTACCGCCGGCCCTCTTGATTCGCCCCGACCCTCATTATCGCTCCTGCCCCGCCCCTGCGCCTCGCGGACGGTCCCGGCCTTGGCCCAAGAAGCCACCGTTCAAGAGAACTAGCAAATTGCGCAGTACGCGATGAAAACGGAAAGGATTGGTATTATTTGAGGGAGAGAGAGAGAAGAAGAAAAGGATAAATACGTTTGCGATTGATGATTGTAGTGAAGGGAAAGAGAGGTTATCTAAAATAAATACATTTAGGTTTTTTGTACGGTGTTTAATATGTTAAATAGTTTAGTTAGGGAGGTTATTTCTCCGTTAATTGATTATCAGTGAGTGACGAATTCAGTGTCCAAGAAATGCTGACATTTATGTACTGGCAAAAGTAACTATTGTAATTTGATGTTTAGCGAATTAGATAGTGATGCTTAGTGAATTTATAAATTTGCACTTTTCGAAAATTTCGAAAAATTTGGAAATTTTAAAAAAAATTACACCTGCGAAATTGATACTGTTAAAAGCTCCGCTCCTTGTTATATGCATGAAAACAGTTCGAACAAAAAGTTTGGAGCGGTTTTTAGAAAATGTTTTTTACAATATAATTTGCATTAACTTCTAGCATAGTTTGCGCAAAAACTTTCCTTTTTCCAAAATATTGTTCATGTCCTTTTTCAAAGATTTGAGTTTTTAGAACAGATTTTGTTTAAAGCCAAAATCTCTATCTTGAAAATTGTAGTTTTGGAATGTTAACATTTCGTAACTTTCGAAAATAAGGAGTTCGCCGGAATTGGGACTAACACCAACTTTGTAACAGTCTCTGATATATACTAGAAAAAAATTGGAGTCGTTTCTGGAAAATAATTGTTTAAAAATTGCCTACATTTCACGCAAAATTGCTCGTAAACTACTCATACTTTTGTAAAAAAAATAAAAGTATAAAAATTGTACGTGACCTTTTTTCAAGATCTGCCTTTAAAGAATAGAATTCATTAAGGAAATAATATCTTTTTTCATATTGTAGTTTCAGGAAGATACAAAAAAATTGAACCTAAGAAATTTTTGAAGAATCAGATATTTTAAAGAAAATGAGAGCTGGACCATTATTTTAAGAGTTCTTTGTACTATCTGAAGGCAAAGTTTAATCAAAAAACTTGGAGCAATTTTTGAGAAGTTATTAAAAAATGTTGAGGCTCTGCTGATCCTTTTCAAACTCCTAGGCCCTCGAATTCCTTTAAGTTGATGGACGAATATCATTTTTGGAGAAAATCAGCCAAACCCTTGGGGTGCTAACATTCACCAGAGGTAGACAGACAGACGTTTTGCCGTCAATTATTCGGTATCAAGGACCCACAAAACACAAATTCTGACAACACAACTAAGAACTAATTTACTCTATAGTGTTAAGCTTTATCCAGTCTTTCGTTACAAGTGCCCGAAGTAAGTTTGTATGTCGAATATTTGTCGAATGTTCCAGCACGTGATCACAATACTCTCTTATCTGACGAAGTAAGGGCAAGAAAGTAAAACTTAGCTGAAACAAGTCTTTTATGGCATTTTGAAGCCAAATGGATGCTCTTTAGAGCTTGTTGAGAGCAATTCTTCAAGCTACTCGTGTACCTATCCATCCACACTGGGAGACATGCATGCAAATTGAGCACCCAGAGTCCACTGTATAAACTAGAGTAATAGACTCACGATGATACATTTGCAGAATACCCTTCGTTCAACCTATTATTCATGCTGCCTATTAACTTCCACTTTATGATAGGGTCTTCCTTAATGACACATCACAATAAATATTACATCGGTTTTTTTAGGAAAACACTCAAATTAAATGGGTAAATATGGATTTGAATTTCAATACATTGTTTTTATCTGTTAAACGAAAATGCGCTGTAAGAGTGTGGATCTGGAGTATTTGAATGAATCTTAACGACCAAATGTAACAAGAAAATACGAAACAAGAACATACAGAAACCGCAGCAAAAAGAGATTTTAGGGCGAAAATTCGCCGTTTTCTGACGAACGATCACAAAACTTTCTCTTTTTACGAAGAATCCGTAAGGCGAGGAGTAAAAGGAATGTGCGTGTGTGTTGCATATAGACGCAAAAAGTACTCGGCCGATTTCGCTGAAATTTTCACACTTTGTTCTTATGAATAATGTGAATGTTTAAAGAGTGTTTTGAAGTAAATCGGACGTGATGGGGCATTGATGATGATCTGTTATTGATGTTGATTACGACGACTCAAGCGCCCCTGAACTCTATGCAACCAGTCGCCTATGTCTCAGTCAACCTACTCAGTGAAGGATTAAGTGCATCTTCATTCCAAAATAATATTTTAACCCCACAATTGTGAAATATCGCCCGGAATTATTACTTGAATGTCAGACACGTCAATCAAATTTCTTCAAGATCGTGTCAGAGTGAAGGCATGCCCAAATTGGAAGAAGAACGTTTTAACTATAAAATGTTTGACAGCTATGTACAACCAGGACATACAATCATCCCATACTTGCGAGAAAGTATTTTATCTATTTGAGTTTTGCACAGTGTAGCGTAAAACGTGGTGAACAATCACGTGACCAGTAGTATATGATGTGTCATACACTGCAATAGCGAGACATTGCCGGCTCCACTAGTGTAACATATAATGGCAGTTAATAATACTTACGTCCGAATACCTCAACTGTAACTTTTGCAAATGTAAATTCATTAAAGTTATTAGTCGGAAGAGACATTTTTATGATATGAATATCGCAACAAGTAGACGATTATTATTATTATTATTATTATTATTATTATTATTATTATTATTATTATTATTATTATTATTAAAATATTTCTAAGGGTAGATATACTCGTATTAAAACTTCATTATGTAATGTGTATTGGTTTAGTTGTTGGCTGAATGTTTTCTAATTATTGTTCACGTGTTGCACTACACCAGATTAAAATTTCTCTGTTTCAAAACAACAGAATGTGATTGGATTTGCTTTTTACCCTTTACTTTCAATTTGTATTTCTTTTCTCTTCTTTGAAAACCAACAATCTGCGTATAATTTATAGAAAATGCAATATGTAATGTTATTGTTGGTCTTGGACAAGGAAAGTCTCGTGATTTTTTGATATCAATGGTCTTGGTTTAAAATTATCGATGGAAAACATCAAACTACGGTTTATAGCAATAACAGGTTAATTTATATCCAGAACTTTACACACACCAAACAAGGTTGTCTTAGAAGTAAACTACACATATGTGAAATGTGAATTCTACAAGTTGGATTTTGGATATTGCCAGTCTGTATGTCATTATATCCACCGTTCATGAACTGTCAGCTGAAGTACTTTAATACTCATTTGCATCAAAGGCGAATAGAGAATTGTGGTCCGTCCACTGAGGGCCATTTTGAAGCTGTTGCTGATGCACACCAGTATTGATTCCCTTCATTCGTTACATTACGCTACACAATGCGAGATAATCGCCCAGGCTCATTAATGCTTCCATAGGGTCGTTGCGGGAGGTACTTCCTCCCTTTAGCTTTTCATTCCCTTTCACCCTTTGAGTTACAAGAGAAGTTACCTTCCAGATGAAGAGATCACAGACCTACTACATCTGTTCTGTAAATTGCCTTGTTTTGTGAACGAGGTAAATATTTGGGTTACTCGGCTAGTTTTGGAGGTCTCTAAAGACACACAAAACAAATATAATTAAAACATTCAGGATAATTTTATCGTAAATCGAAGAGTAACCAACTTTAAGATATCTCCCGATAAGACATTAAATTTATTTACAGGTAAAACCATCGTGTGTTTTGAAAGCCCGATTTTAGACTGGGGCATAATGCTTATTTGAACTATAGTGTGAATCTTTACAATACGTTGTATTTAAAGATTTTAAATGGTTATTTATGACTTATTAAGAATATGTAATTCACAAAAAATCTTTATTAAGGTAAAACTAAATTTTGAGATGCACTTGTTACGATTGGATGCAATAAGCCTACAAGTGAAATGACTATGTCATTGTGACTAATTCCGAACAGAAGACAAAAAAACAATTTGATTTTTGCATTCAATTGAAGGTCGGTCGAGTAGCTGCTAAAATAGACTTTATGTTTAAAAAATATTATGTGATAGAAACATTTTTTTACAGCATAAAGGCAGACAAGTTTATGGAATATGACCTTGATCATGCATTCAAATCTTATGCAGGTATATTTATGCACGTGTTAATAAAAATGTATTGTGTGTTTTAGATCCGAAACTACAATGGAAAATTTCGATGTATCAATGAGAGTGAAAATTGTGAAGGAATACTTCAAAACAAAATCCGTCTCGAAGACACAAGAAAATTTTGAGAAGACGTTTCCAGGAACGGAAGCTCCCAGTAAGGCAATTATCCTTTCCTTGGTCAAAAAATTTGAAGATGATGGGGACATTCGGCCTGCATCCGCCTCGGATACACTGAAGGATGAAGCACATAGTGACACATCGACTTCGTCCGCACAAAACGTGAGTCATGTTAACGCTGTACCATACAGACATAGAGTAATTGAGTAGGAATCACTGTACTGTCTGTGAACGTACGCTTCATTATGACATGCAACGGAGTGATTGTTTGGAATATTTAGATATTGAATCTGGCATTTTTATTTATTGTTTTACGTAAAGTAATATTTTCCTTAAGATTGTAGAAACTGGCGTCTGGTCCCTTATTTACGACCTTTCATTGAGATTTTTCTAACTCGTGTTAATCTGATGAGGGTGGAACTCGCCGTTTCCAACCATTGGTGATACTAAGCCCCTAACATAAACATCGTCTTATCAGAGACAGAAGAGTTTTCTTATAGCAGTGGAGAATGTTCCAGTCCTTCCACAGTTCGTTATTCACACGTTCATGAACTAGTAAAGTACATAGTTAGAGATTATGCACCAATAAATCCAGCCAACATCGAATTTGTTAATTGGACAGAAAATGGCGGCTTCAATCTATTTTATTACACTTGATAAAGCTCTGTTGTCGCATATTCTGTGTGAATTGAATTTAATATCACTTTCAAGCTATATAGTGTGGTGAGCAATATTGCTTATTTAATGTTCCATCGACAATTATATGTTTAGCCATACAATTCAGGTAGAAAAAGTTAATGTTTGTCGTTTTTCTGCAATCTCAACAAGAGAAAATGATCGAAATGTCTACATAATGTGATTTTAAAGTCTAATCCCTTGTAATGTTCTTTCTTTTTGTAATTGGAAGATTTTTATGTGCTCGTTTTTCTTCGCTTTGGACTTGTACTCTTTCCGATAGTTTACAATCAGGAAAGTTCGTGAAATGCCAGAGAACGTGGAAAATATATCATTATGGAAAAAATCTCTATCTTCAATATTGTAGTTGTAGGAAGACATCAAAAAAATAAACTTGCAATTTTCGAAAAATTAGGGATTTCAACAAAAATGAGTTTTGCACCATTCTCTTAAGTGTCCCTTACGCTTACGAAGACAATTTTTGGATGATTCAATTCTCTTGTCGAGACATTATGCTGTTAATTCCGTGGCGGGGGCAGAGATATTGTGGCAATCCATAGTAATTAAAGATATAGAAGATATCAACCAAAACTTTTTTAAAACTATCTTCTATATTATAAATAATTAACCAGACATAAGTCTCGGGAATCTTATGCCCTCTTCTGTGGCACTACAGAGAAGAAAATTATGAAATAAAATGTAATTAACATACGAAATTAAACTAATTTAAATATTAAAATATAAATAGATGATATACAAAATTGAAGAAAATAAAATCTGTGGAAGTTTGAAGTATACCCATGGATTTAAGTATTATCCTGTATTTCCTATGTACATTTTCTTAAAATCTTCACAGAGAAGTTGGAAAACTCCATTTTTCTCGTACATTTTGTGATTTTTACTTTCTTGCCCCAATTTCGTAAGTAGAGAGAGTGGATGACGACCCTTATTGCTTATTCTCAAAAGCTAATTGGTTAAAGAGACTAGTCACTGGTGCTGGATAGTTCAAATCTCTTTTGTTATCTTTTAAACAACATTCTCTACGAGGTTTCTAGTTGATTTGGTCGTAATGTTTACTATATTTTTTATTGCTCTTGATTTGGTTTTGAGTTCAAAATTACCTGATCGTGTTTCATAATTTTAGCCTGCCTTATGACTTATCTTAATAATTTATATTTTTTAAGTAGAGGAAATCTTGACATACGTTTTGCCGCTTACAAATGAAAGAAATAATTCGTTTGTTTTTACATGATCTTTGTTTTAAGGTTTATTTCCACTTGTTATTTAAAATACTAATTCTGAGTACCTTTTTGTAAACCAAGGCATAGAACAACAAGAAATGGCGCCATGAAAAAAATTAATTTCAGCAGGGAAAGTTCATTCGAAAGTTCATACGTGTTAATCATTGGAAAATTATTGGTCATTAACATGCTCTTTCAAAATCCTGAAAAACATGGCAATTGAGATGAGGACGATTTTCTTCTGTTCTTGGTCATATTTAATAAAAAATGATATTCGACGCCACATTCCTTCTAATGCACAGCTTCAATTGAAAAACTTACTTCTTTTCACAATGTAACATTGCAGAAAGTCCAGAGAAGCCTAAGAATTCTCTCGTTGAGTTCGGTGTCAGTGGTCGAGAAACTTCAAAGTAAGCGAAAAGTGCTCTAATTTAGATGCTTTGAGACGAGAGTTACCACTGACTATTGAGACACCCAACTGGTAATGAGATTTGTGACGCCCTCAGCTTTGGATTAATAGAAAATCATTCTATTAAATTTCAACTATGTGCTGCGTGATCCATGTTAATTGCCAGCCGTAGTGTGTTTGTGACCCGACACATTTACGGGCTGGTAACGTCGTATTGACACTATTTAACCATGACTAGGCATGACAGGGCGGTAGTCAAATACATCGTTCTTTTGTCATACTCTGTGTCCTCCATATTCTGTAGACCAGCTGCGCGTAATAATATTTTTAAAAAAACTTTGGAAATTACAACTCACTTTTTGTTTCTTTTCATACCTTCAGAAAACTCTCGAGAATATCTGGCGCTGCGTTGCGGTAGAAGCGTTGACTAAAGAGACAGCTCAGTTCGGTGTCAGTTAATGAGTGTCCGCGCGACTGGCGTTGTTTCGCAGTGTGCTCGATCGTAGAAAACCAGTAGCAATGTTAATGTGTCATTTTGAGCCAGGTTTGATTACCATGAATTCGGGCGCTTGTATGGAATTTGAATTCATATAGAATGTCTGTAGTTAATTTGTTGAGCATGATAAATAGCAAAAAGCTCTTTGCGCCTGCTGAGCGTCTCTCCTTGTAGAGCTAATGTACGGAATATCCTTTTTTCTTGCGGAAATGGCTACAAAGCAGTTTTTACCTTCTTACACAATTCACACCAAAAGTTTAAATTATTAAGAGATATTATGGTAAGCATATAATTTGTCATAAATTTTCTTTCGAAGTAATGCATCATACCTGGTTTTCGCACGCTGCGCCCTTTTCCCATATACACATACAAACACACACGTTTCGCTTCCTATGTCCTCGGGGTTCACCACTCCGTTTCCTTAATCACGTTTTCAAGATTACAGATTTGCACGCCTATTGAGTTCTCAAAGTGGAAGCTGGCGCCCGGAAAAACAAGCTGTAAAATGACTGCACTTCTCGATAAGAACAACTTTTACGTAATTCCATAACTCTTGCGTAATCGCAGCGACGCCTACGCCTCCGGGCAAATTGTGATGCGGGGGTGGCGCGCTATAAGAAAGAGGGGTAATGGCGATCTTCTCTTTCTTGCGACGCGCTACGGTCTTCTTTCTGAGCTTGACCCCATTGTTATTCCGGGACCTATTATACTCACATTTATTAGTGTTGGGGGCGTATAAAATTACCTATCGACACTTTGAAATGACAAGGTTCCAACTAACATTCCCGTCGTTGCAAGTAAATTGATGTCGATGTTTCGACACTCATTATTCAGACGTCTCTCCGCCGACAGTATTAATTTTTTTCAATAGCTTTTTGTTCACATGTTGCAGAACAACAATATTCTACTTGGAGTGTAGGTCAGATAGAATCTTGTCATATTTATTTTCTTCAATTTTGTCAGTTGGAACCTTGTCATTCCAAGAGGTCGCAATGGCAATACTCTTCACTTTTTGTTTCTGTAGGTTTGGATTGAGAGCTCTTTAATGCTAATATTTACAACTCACATTCAATTTAGTTACAGTTATATTTACGTAGCATAATGCGCCGAAGAAAATGGATATTTAGATTCACATATAACGTTTTCTCAGTTTTCTCGTCTTCCTTAAATGAAGTCCACCCGTTTGTCGCATGGAGCGGGCTCGCGCAGTCTTGAGCGAGGCGCGGGCGCCCGCCTTCGAATTCCGGCGGCGACCGCGGTATGCGGGGCGGCGGCTGCGGCTGAGGTTGGGTTGCGGCCGCGTGGTGGCGACGGTCGCCACTCCACTCCCCACGTGCTCTCTCACACACTGTGTTCGCGCCGTGGCGGCGGGGGCGTGGCGTCGTGAAGGCCAGCCAGGCCGGAACAGCCCCCGGCGGTGATTGTGCGGCGAGGCCCCTCCTCGTGCTGGCAGCCTCGCGCCGCCGTCCGCGCTGGGCGCCAAGTGTCGTTTCATTGGGCCCCCATTTGTCTGCACGCTGCAGATGGAGATCTCTCCCCAGCGTACATACAAGGGGAGGCTGTGTAGTTTTATAGCAGTTGGAAAATCTGAAGATAACCTGGTATAAAAAGAGATAGTGTTGAGGGTGTGTGGGGGCAATTCAAAGAATGATTAGATTGATTGATCAGTGATTTAGGGCACGACAACTGCTAAGGTCATTATTCCTGCAACTGTAGTTAATGCTTTTTTATCGCGGGAGGTGGCGGCGATCTTTCCCCTGGATGACGAGATCTTGCTCCAACCTACCCGTCGGCTTACGGGATTTCCCTAACCAGGTATCTCCCTCCAGTGGGGCACTGCCCCAGACGGGACAAACTCTAAACTTGCACGTGTGTATGACAGTGTGTGTGAGTAAGGGATCAAGATAGGAAAAGAAAGATCGCGTGCAGCCATTTTTTAGGGTATTTGCCTAGTGTTGATCGGAGAAACCAACGAAAACTACCGATTAGAGCAGCCGGCCGCTAGAAGTCTCCTCCAGTCAGCGGCTAAATTCGAACTAGCTGTGTAGCTTCAAAATCCAGGATAATTAGAGATTCAGTGGGAAATGGAGACCGGCGAATTCTTCATTGTGAGAGGATGCTTGATTATGTTGCTTTTGTGAAATATTTGTTCTTGATCAAATTTGATCTGTCCTAGTAGTAAATACGCTTGGAAAAGCGGAAGGAAGTCTTAAATATTTATTGAAAATCATGTGCCTTCGTAACTGGAAAACTCAAAATGTAGACAATTCCTCAAAAATTGTTTTATTGCAAGTACACTGAAAGCTAATGGTTTAAGATGACACCTAATACACAATTATCA